ACGCGTGATCGAAGTAGTGCTGCGACAAATTTCAGTGTTGGTTAGTCTAAGTTCCTACGTTATTTAATGACCATCTAATTTCCAACTACTTGATGGTCTATCTGCTGAATCTGACCTTTTGTTTGAACCCTCCAATACTTCTCAAGCAAATGAAGGTCTTGCAGAGCTTAGTACGTTTTGAGCAACGTCATAATAAATTTACCTTTGCGGGAACTATAGTTTCGTCGCTGGCATCTTCGACAGTGGAGTAAGGTGGAGGGGGAGAAGAAGTCATCTTGAATTTTAGATATATCAAGAGCTAAGGACTGAAAAAAGAAGCGGCGATGTAGAAGACGAGGATAGAATATTGGAAAATAATAGTGAAGACGAGCAGGTGATATTCAAGGTCTAAAAACTACACAATGATACATGATTCCCGCGTACTAGATCAAATCAAACCATTGATCAGTGATCGGGAGCTCTTTTAAACTTGTATCCAAATTTTTGACTCCTTCATCAGCAAACTGGTAATGAAAAATAGTTTGCAGATGGTGGATCTATGAACTGATCTGAATTCTGTAAATATGTATAAATCCCATCAATATAAGTGTTAAGTGATCTTTCAGGGCTCGCATATAGCATCAGAGTCCAGTCAGTCATCGTTTTAAGGGATCTACACGAAATTTGTGTGATCATCACAATTACAATACCACTACAAGAAGGCTGAAATTCTGCTAATGCTCGAAATCTGGTGTGAAGTGGATTTCAACTTGCGGTTACCATTTTCAAAAGCTTTTGCGTTACGCACTGCGTTATTGTTTTCTTCTTTCTTACATCTTAACATTCTTGTAAAATTGTACTTAACACCACGCCGCGCAATCTCCAAAGAAGAGAAAGCTGAAGGATGAAGGGTGTTGACCAATCCCTGGGGGATCACCATACATTTGTCTTCAATTTTTAACTTCATTTTGAGGTGATTGAATGCATATCTGGCCTTTACAATGACTCTCGGTGGCCTCCAGCTGAACCGAGTCAGTGCTGCTTATCCTCCCATACAAGTCTGAAACTAGTATTGTTTTACTTTAGACCCCAGAGAGACGAATGACTTGATGAGCCATGAGCGCGGGATCAAACCATCGATCTTGTGTGCGACGCAGAGCACCTTTAACCACTGCGCCACATGCACTCTGTATAAAGAACAAGCTGTAGATAATTGTGCGAAATAATGCTTGTATTAGTTAGGAATAATGGGATAGATAAGACTACTAGATTTAAAGAAATGCTAATTGATAGACTAAATACAGTAGTCAGTAATTATTCTTAATTTGACATCTGAGTGATCCTTTCGCATGACTTACTACCTAATTCTTCTTTGTTTCTTGAGAAAATCTTACTTCTGATATCTATAGCTTTAGATCAGAAATGGACTTTAGTAAATAACATTGTCTTCCGATCTACTATCTCATCGTCACTAGTATTTGAGTATCGGATTATGGAGTACAGTGCAGGCAAACTCTTACGGTGAGACCAATTGGTCAAAAATGAAATTGATATTTCTTTTGCAAAACTCGGCTAAAAGAAATAGTACTCCAAGACAAAACTCGACAAGCTCTCCATCATGACTCTTGAGTAAATGGAGCTAACACAGGGCTACCCTGGTGCCGGACCGACATCCAGTCGAGTTACTGGCTGATTAGCAAGATTGCAGCTGACAGATGTTGCATGTGTTATTATACATGATGTCAATACATGTGGTTTTCAATATTATGTCATTGGCCTTATTACAATATTGGAGCTGATTTTGATTTCCACCTTAGCTTGGTGCGTGTTGGGGCAGTGGTTAGAGAAGTCTTGCAATATATGTGGTGTTCAATGCAATGCGGCATCGCGGACTCATCTGGCTCTACCCTGTGAGTCGACAAAATACGACCCGACTTGTGCGGGAGATTAACAGCATAGGCTTGAAACGTGGATGGGCCACCGTAAGTCAGTGCATTACTGACGAATGCTTCAACAGCTTCAACGCGATGTGCACCTTTTGGGTACACGAGTGTGTGCTCGTTTTAAACGATGCTTGTGACTGTGTGTAAACACGCTAATCAGTGGCCTCCCTGCCAAAAGCAGCTTCTTTTGAACAGATTTTTTTGACATTTAATAGCTTGCAGAATAGGGGTATTTTAATCTGAAAATGTATTTTGAACCTTTCATGAGGTCTGATATGGGCAACTATGCAACGCAAGACACGTGTTTCGACTTTCGAGCCTCGTCAGGTGCACGATTTTTCTACGTTCAGTCAGTTTCTCGCTGATCTACCAGTTACATAGAGGAATCGACGACAAACTTTTTACGCCCGGTGTACGGTGCAACAATCATCGTGATGTTCTTTCAGTGCGCTTGAATGTCAACTGCATACGTATGCCTGTCGGAACTAATTTACTGGGGCCCCTTCAAGGATCCTAGAGATCTTCGCAGTGGGACCCTACCACCGACGATGATTTTGCGTTATGATAATAATGTTCTTAGAAGGAGTGCGCAATCTAGAGAGTTTAGCCAACGAAAAGATGCAAGGATACCGTTGAGTTGGCGACGTGTATTGTAGACAGAGTTCCTTATCATTTTGGAAAGCAGTTTGCTGGCTACTGCTTGGCAATTCGGTATTGTATGGATGGAAACGTATCAAAAATAAAAGTACTGTAATTCTGTTTCCCCAAAATAAATAATCTCTCTGAATGTTGACGTTGCTGCTGTTTTGTACACTACAATCGCACTACAGTTACAGATGCAGTAGCGGTTCGGAGACACGTCTTTCGAACGGTACGTCAGCAGAAAACAGTAGCCGTTCCGAACGGGCTAAGCACTTCAGTCATACCACGAACAGATTTTCATGCATGGTAAACCACTAAAGCACTGATCGATGGTAAATGTTGTATGCTTTATCCAACCGTTTTTGCTACATTTGATGTGAAATGCTCGTAAATCATGTTTTGTGGCTTTGTGGCAAATTTACCTCTGAAAGTAAACACGGGCTAAAGAATTGACGTTAGCGGGGGAACTTCTTTCCACTTTTCACCCAGGTGATTTATCAAACTGTGGATTATGCTGCAAGAAAGCTAACGACAAATTTGATCAGCATAGAAACCCATCAAGATTCGTCGAAATTATCCACATTATAGATCAACAGTGAACATATTCTTAATGATATTTGAGAGCTAAGTCAAAATTAGGTACGTATTAAGTAGACGTAATATTATTATATGTATTATGTATTATGTATTATGTATATGTATTATGTATTATGTATTATTATATGTATTATTATTATCGTAGACGTGATTCGATCCCATCATGGTGATTTTATGAAGTATTTTTTCATTTGCAGCAAAGCGTTCATGATTTTAACTGTAGCATTCCTCTAAAAGAAATCGCGTGCTTGCAAAAGTGCTGAAAAATGATAATATTCGGCTTTTTGTGTGCGCTTTGCTACGAAAGTTTTGTTTTCTGCATTGTTGTAGCTAATAAACTTATTCCAAAAATTTCAAGCGGTGTGAGTCATATATGACTCATGTCGGCTTGTTTTTCCTTTTGTTGGTTACTGCCCATGAACTCCAACAATTTCGGTATTATATCTTACAATTTGCAATATTTTCAGGAAATTGATAGGGCGTGGGAAATCCCATACAGTCAACCATATTCTTCCTGCATGCGATTTTCGCTGGCTATCGCGTCTTTTTTGGTAATGACGCAATTGAAAAGTGAACAGCTTGACATGATTGTAGAAGAAGACGAGGTGAATCGTCTTCGTAACAAAAACGGTTTATTTCAAGACGCTATCATATCTTAAGCTCGTTTAACTACGATTTCTAACAATTGTAAGAATGAATGATAAAGTTGAAGCGTTCGGCAATGTTCAGTCTCCCAGAAATTTCCCATGCATTCAACTTTATCAAGCATCGTAAGGCTAGTTGAATGCATATGTGATGGCTTGCAATGATCTATCAATGCGTTCGTCCAGTTCTGTGTGCCGACTTTGATTTGCCCTCAGTATTAATGATCTATCTCTAAATACTAACAGATTTATTTCTTTTTCTATTTATGAGATTGCACGAGACTATTATAAAAATTTATCCAATTGAAATTTCGGCGTCTCTGCTTCTTCGAATAGATCCCAGTCTATTCCCATCTTTATGCTATATGGGTCTTTGTAATCATATCGTGCCAAATGTGTCGCAGAGCGCACTGCATGAATAAATAAAACTCATTTAGCAATGCATCTGTACAGATGTCGGTTGTTGATTTCTTATTTGCTGACAGTTTCAACCTTCTGCTTACCATATTTTTTTTCAATTAGGGTATAATGTGAAGGACAAGTACAACAAGACTGAGATACGAGTTGAGCTTAGAACCTAATGTGATGTGGAATCGAACTCGCGATTACCCATTCCGGGGCTCATGTGTTATGCACTGACCGTCGAGTACCTCGCTTGCCTTTCTCTCAGCCAAACTTCATTTTAGCAGTACTACCATTAGCCCCTGTCAGCGAGATAATTGCTGATGATAATGTTTTTTTTTCTAATTCATTTTAGCGGTGCTGTATGGAACTAGAGACTGGTTGTCTGTGCATGAGAAGTACTGTGCGGAACACTTTCAAAAACTACATCACGCGTGAAGAAAAAATACAAAATGAATTTCAAATTTTTGATTCTTTGATACTATTTGTGTAAGCCTTCTTTGATGAAGAAAAACCTGAAAAAACTGCTCCATTGACTCAAAGGATCACTGTACAATCCAGTGACTTCTATTTAAAATGATACCGTATGCTATGACCTAGAATATGAGCACCAACCATCATGACAGTGCGAAAAGAAGCAATCGAAACATAAGGAATCGTGAGTATTGTATATGCAGAATAGCTGTCAACATAACTGAGTTGAAAAGCGATATCTCCTCATCCGACTAAACCTGTTAGCAGTTGGTGCTATGAGTGATAGCTATGACAGTGATGTGCTGAAGAATGGGCGGTGGCCTCGGTGGCGTAATGGTGGCACGCGCCCTCGGTATAGATGAAGAACGGGTTCAACTCCTGTCTGAGGTAGAATTTTTGCTCAACACTCAATTTTCTTAGGACTATTTGAGACATCACAGCGATACGAAAAAACACTTAAAAATAAGGAATCCTGAGTAGAATGCAAGTGTTTAACCCACAACGTATCCTCCACTGCCGCCGTGGCTTTGAATTCAGCAATTGTTCAATACAATAATCAGCTTCCACTGGTTTTTGAAGACCACCGATCTTTTCCCCATCTCGCAATTTAGAGAAAGGGGTCATAATGGGTTTAAGAGAATAGAATTATAGTTCAAAGAAGCAGCATTACAGTAATTAGGCGCTATAGTACAATGTAGGTTAGATTTAAAAAGTGCTATCAATTTCGGGAGCACCTCAGAAAGAGTTTCTGCTTGACTCTTTCTCTGGAACATTTCTTTCACAAGAAGCTGTTGAGACGTTTCAAGAGTTGGGCATATAGGCGAGAAGTGTGGCAAATATAATAGATGAGGATGAGTTTCAACAAGCCTTTGCGGCGTCGGCTGAGTTAAATGAGAACCGACGTCGTTCGTATGACGTGTGTCCTATTCGTAGAGCATTGTTTGTTGAGCCTGTTGTACTTATAAGTCTTTTTGGATGTTTGAAACAAGTGAAATTGCTACAAATAATGCTGTTCTTGCTAGTCTAGAACAATCGCGTGTGCATTCGGCTGCAAGATACCGTTTAATTCAGAATTGCTTCCAGTACGAACACCCTCACCGACCTTTCCCACCCATCTTGGTAGTCAAATTCGACCCGTTGGAATTATTTAAAACCACACTGCGCTGTGCCTTTGACTATTTTTCTATTCCACCTTATCAGTGATGTGCGCCGTTTGACTGCATTGCATTTGAGGTAGAATTAACGGAAGTAAATCTGCTGTAACTTCCGTTTTGAAATCTGAAATCCTAAATTTTAAGATTAGTCAGAGGGGGCCGTGGCCAAGTGGCTTCGATGCTCGAAGCGGCGTGTGGCTGATCCCCACCCCCTAGCATTATGCGCTAGTCAACAGCGAACGCCCTATGAAACGTATCAGTCAGACTATCCTCAAGACCGTAAGGAGACGTATTCTACGGCGTTCAAGAAGAAGACGAAAAGACGGATTGATGGCTAGAAGTACTTGGCCGCACAGTAAAAAAAAAACAACTGTGAGGTGGATTATATAAAGAGATAGAAAAGATTCGTCAACTTCTCAGTTTATAGTATAATTCACTTACACGTAATGAAAGTGCGTGAGATAATTCTTGTTGTAACAGATAACATTTTCATATCTATAGAAAACTTCATCTTTAGCACAGAAAGAGTTGTACCAGAATAGACGTCGGCAGTGCAGCCGGTTCGAGTACGCACCTGTGGGTTCGAGTCCACCTGACGCGAATTTTTTGCACATCACTCTACATCAATGGGTATATCTATATTAAAGAACCGCCAAAAGCGGTTAAGTGAGATGAAATTCTTCAAAACTCTTTGAAACATTGAAATATGTTCAAAATAATGTTCAATGCTCAAAATATGACATTAAAAGTCTCGTCATTACATATACGGGGCACTTATGGCATTCGCCTCGTTTTCTTGCATTCACCCTGGGCAAAAGTCTTCAACCAATTCGCATGTTATTTCGGCCTCTGCTTGAAGAAATCGTTTTCTCTATAAGAATCGTAACGTGCTGGAGACAATTCTCTATTCAAACTTGAGGATAGCCATGCTAAGTCTTGCACCTTAAGGACTTGCGGTAACGCGTTGGGGATGGCGCCAAACCTTGCTTCTTAATAATGAGCATCATTCTACCAGTTTCACAATAAAAAGAAAAAATTAGAATATAGTAGAGAGGATGTGTCGTTAAGAGATGTCATTACTTGGAAAAGCAACCGTCACTCGTTTTTACTGTGCTTCTCTGAGCAATCATGGCTAGCAGTGGTAATCATTGTCGTGAGCACCGTGAAAGATCCCTAATAGAAACTTCTGGACATATGTTTTTCAATTTCATTTTGAGTCTCACCCTATTCTCAGTGAACAGCTGCAAATAATGACTGCGTGATATTGCGAATGCTTTCGCGGTTATGATATGATCACTGTGATAAGGTAATTTAACGCGGTGAGTTTCATTTCACGTAGTAGGCCTCCCCTACTAACACCTGCTTGTGAGGATTTCATTCCACGTAGTCAACCTCTACTACTACAACTTTCTACTAACACTTTGAAGTGAGTCTGTCAACTCTTCGCTTATCTTCTCACTTCTTCTCAAAAAATAATCTATGTCAATGCCTCTCCTTGCAGCTATTCCATTCTATGGCAATATCGCGTAAGTCGACAACATTTTAGCAGTGAATTTTCTCGTTAGGACCACAATTGCGCTCTTTAATAAAAAATTTATTTTGCAGAATAAGCAATGGCGAATGATCCTAAACAGGTAGTTATTTTTATTTCTTCTCTAATGAAAATGGGAAAGCCTGTGACACTCTATTGAATACTAGTTTCACAAGCGCTAATCCTCTACAATGAGGTCGTAAATTTGTAATGTGTGCCTGCGACATGACAAATAATTATAATCCATAAAAGCCATTAAATATGTTGTATTTAGTATGAAGCGACTTTTCAAATGAAGTTACCCTAGCTGATATTTTGGAAACAGCAAATTCTTGGTCTTAGAGCAAGATAATCTTCAGGGCTTGGCCGGTTTTCCAAGCGACCCTGCTAATGTCAACTTCTGTATGATGCCCACAAAAGAAGCTATCGAAGCCACTCCAGGGATTGCACTCCAAAAAGGTCAGCCAATTCTCAATGATTCGGAGCACGAAAGTGTTTTATTCTTACACAACCTCATTACGCTTTACACACTGTATTATAATGCAGACTTACTAAGTTAGTGGTAGTTGAGCTTCATGATACCTATCCTTAAGACGTTCATTAATGAAAATCGGTCTCTAGCTTCACATTAGCCACTTATCACCGAATTAAATGCAGAGGAAGTGGTTAAGCTACAAGCCCAAGGCCAGCTGCCAAAGGAATTCAATCCCGAAACGCAGACTGCAACTTTGCATAAAATAAAAAGCGGTGACCAGGAAATTATAGTGGTATGTTTTGGTTTTTAGGTTTGCGAGAAAATATCTGCCTAATAGAACAAATCATTTTTTCTAGATAATGGTGGATGCACCACCATGTGGATGTGGTCGTCTGCCGACTGGCAAGAAAAAACGTTGTCCTAAGCATAAAAAAGAGCATAAAGCGAAAGTAAAGGCAAGAAGGGCGAAGAAGGCGAAGAAGAAGAAGGAGAAGATGGAGAAGGAAGAAGAGATGGCGCCGGAGGGCGGGAAGAAGGCGTCGAAGGAAGACGATAAGAAGATGGTTAAAGACGACGACAGTGACAGGAAGTGAGCTTGTTTACTCAATTACAGCGCTCATATCACAGCGAAATCGTGATTGATTTCTTAGGTTCAGCAAATCAACAGGTCACCTAGGTATCAGTTACTGAAGCGACTAGTCAACGTAGGCGATACCAACACTCGACAAACTAAATATATTTATCCTCGTGAGCAAGTCTGCTATCAAGTTTTTCATCCCGGAGTAGAATGGACAACTCAAAACATGGAGTTGAACTGCAACCAACCCTTTTTAGATATATTAAGCATTTATAGACACTGCACTACAAGCTTCCCCATATTATCTTTCTAGTCATCTCAGATAAGGGAAGGCGATAAATCTCCAGAGCGTTTTTTGCTCTACGCTATCAAGCTTATCCATATCCTTCACTGCCTAAAGGGTGCATATTGAAAACGATTACATTTGAAGACTATAGAAAGATTGAATCAAAATTATTAGCAGCAAAGTAAAAGAAGGCCTTCTGTTCTACTTCTCTTGTTTTTGTTCTTTAAACACTATGAAATACATTCCCACAGATTTTTAGTGATTGTGAAAGTTCAGTGACACCATTCGGATTCGGCAACACAGTCGACTATTAACTGTAACTTCAAGCTCTTTATATGCAGGAAAGTTGTGGAACTTCGACACGCTGGCGATTCTGTGAGTGATGAAGATAAGCCGATCGATGGCGCTCTCACCCCTGACAAGATCTGTACACTGGTAAAACTACATAGTGCATCTGCTTATCAAAGCATGTGTTGATTATCGTTTAATGATAGGGCCCAGCTAGTGTAGCCGTGTTGGTGGAAGTGAAGGCCGAAGGCTCCGACCTCGGTCAAAAAGCCCACGTCGAAAAAGACAAACCGATGAAGGGAATACTCGTGAAAGGGCCTCATGGTAATTGATATAGTAAAGCCAGTCCTATACATAAAAAAAATCAACATTAATCATATTTCAGACACCCCACAGTTTCTCCCAGAAGAAAAGATTCCTAAAGAAGCAAATGGGCAACTAAAATATCATAAGTACACGAAAGGTCAACTACGTAGGGGTCCTCATGGCGAATCTATTTTCTATGCTGATGATGAGTGCCAGGTAAAATTCTCGCGCGATACTTCTTATGCTCACTAACCAAAGCATTGCGTCTTTGATTCTAGCCTGATGATAAGGGCAATCCGAAGAACATAGAAGTGAAAGGAGTGGACAAAGTACTGCAAAACAAAATTGGAGACACAGGTAAGTGCATGTGCTCCGTGCATTTTCATTCTCCGAAATTCGTCTCTCAATATCACTAATTTAACTTCAGTGTGCCCACCTTGTGAGGTCGATGTGAACGAAAAAGGAATGCTAGTGATCAAGCAAATCACCAATGCCAACAATGTTCCTAAAGTAGGAGGACTTTCCCTTCTTGGATCGGGTTCCGCAGTTCATGCGATACAACAGCACTCAATGAGTGACCGAAAAATTTCAATATGTGATAGTTTCTGTCATTTCAGGAAAAGCAGGCGACTGTGGGTGTACTGATGAAAAACAGCGAAGGAGTGGTCGTATTCACACAGACTGGAGGTCAGGAAATTGGCGCAAAAGAGGGTGGGTTAATGACATTAGTGATTCAGCTTGTTCAACTCGAGAAAGCTGTAGCTGCTGAATGCCACTATATTACTTTATTACTATATTCAAAATAATTTCCGTGGCATTATACTAGAGTTGCAGCTGAAGCAAACGTTGCTACGACTCCTAAAGATAATACGGCAGCGAATGAGGTAATAGGAAAGGTGGTCGCCAATAAGGAGGGTGTTAACCATGTCATTTTATCTAATCAAACACCTAAGCAGGATGAAAAAGTTGTTGGCACTGTGTTGCAGGTACGTCCCGCAACACTGCCAAACTTTTTTTTTTTGAAAGCAGATGGTACTCAGCTATATGAAAGATTCGACACAAAATTTTAGGGCAACTACGGTGAGCCCGTCTTCGTCAAGGATTCGAACGCGGCCGGAGGAGCAGGATCTGCAGGAGCCGTCAACAAGTAAGTGTCTGGCATTTTGACAAGCTTAAGCGTCTCTTCAGTTTATTCTAACAGAGATGAAGTAGCTTCGTCTCGGCGGAGTTTTTTTTCGTCAAAAATCATTACTGCTGTAATAGCTGTTGACAAAATTGTTCATTTAGTTCTAGCTACCAATAGTAACAATTTTCTTGATAATGTCCCACTTCCAGTGCTGAGAAAGCTAATAAGACACATAATCAACAAATCGTGAACGCCAACATTCTCGTTCAGTGCAAAGTGCAGAATAAAACTCCAGAAGAGATCAGAAAAGTGAATTCTCGAGCTTTGTCACTCCATTACTATGGCAATCTTCAATCCTAGTTTTCAAGGTCGAACATTATAACAATGTAACACTAATTTAATGGATTTCCAGGAGCAGCAAGCATCAAGCACGCCTGCTGAGCCCGCTGGCCAGCCAGCCGCACTCAGTTCTGGTAAGCAAGGTGAGCCTGAAGGAGGAGTGATCTCATATGCATGCACTGGAGCAGGATCTACCAGCTTTTATGCAAAAGCTGTAAGCTTTTCACTGATGTTCTGTGAAAGTTACATGCGGAAAAGCAGTTTACAAGATCCTGGAAAAGCGGCTTCTATTATTGGCAGTTTTGATTCGAATTTTCCTAGGGTTCACGCCTGGCTTTGCACTACACTCAGCATCGAAAAAAAAGCGCACATCTATTTATAAGTTGACTATTCATAATCTATGTCGCGAACTTCGAACTTTAAACATATAATAATGCAGAAAAAAGCAAATGCTTGCTTCAGGGAGGATTCGGACCTGGTCAGGCTGGAAAGGCGCCAGCTCAGGGTGGAGGTGCGCAGGGTCAAGCTGGAGGCGCACCGTCTCAGGCTGGAGGCGCTTCGACCCAGGCTGGAGGCGCTTCGGCCCAGGCTGGAGGCGCTTCGGCTCAGGCTGGAGGCGCTTCGACCCAGGCTGGAGGCGCTTCGGCCCAGGCTGGAGGCGCTTCGGCCCAGGCTGGAGGCGCTTCGGCTCAGGCTGGAGGCGCTTCGGCTCAGGCTGGAGGTGCAAAGTTTCAGATCGGAGGCGCTCCAGCTCAGGTTGGAGGCGCTCCGGCTCAAGCTGGAGGTGCAAAGTCTCACATCGGAGGCGCTCCAGCTCAGGCTGGAGGCGCTCCGGCTCAGGCTGGAGGCGCTCCGGCTCAGGCTGGAGGCGCTTCGACCCAGGCTGGAGGCGCTTCGGCCCAGGCTGGAGGCGCTTCGGCTCAGGCTGGAGGTGCAAAGTTTCAGATCGGAGGCGCTCCAGCTCAGGTTGGAGGCGCTCCGGCTCAAGCTGGAGGTGCAAAGTCTCACATCGGAGGCGCTCCAGCTCAGGCTGGAGGCGCTCCGGCTCAGGCTGGAGGCGCTCCGGCTCAGGCTGGAGGCGCTCCGGCTCAGGCTGGAGGCGCTCCGGCTCAGGCTGGAGGTGCAAAGTCTCACATCGGAGGCGCTCCAGCTCAGGCTGTAGGCGCTTCGGCTCAGGCTGGAGGTGCAAAGTCTCAGATTGGAGGAGCTGCGGCACAAAATGGTGGAGGGCAGGATCAGACCAAATCAACGAATCGACAAATTGTAGCTGCATACAAAATGGACGATGAAGGAATTCAGAGTGTATTCATGACGGTAGGATTTGCTCAAAGTTCACTTGATACCTCACAATGACTGCATAACAATGTTGCGCTCTTCACATAGCATGAAATATCAAACTTTTTTGGGCAAAAGCTGCGTGTTTTTGGTCAATTTATTTTTACTTTTATTGTATATGTAATATTATTATTATTATTGCATTCTAAATGATTCTCGTGGTATTATACTAGCGTTGAATCCGGAGCGAAAGTTGCTACGACTCTAAAGAGGGTGCTAATTGGAAATGGAAAGGTGATTACGAAATTGCACAAATAGTTCACAAGAGGCAATCAATAGATGTAGCATGGATCTTGAATTTTCACAATTCAGTTGAGAGTCTTCAAAAGTGTTGGTTGACTCTGTGATTAGATCGTGGGCATTAAAATCCAACTTATCCATATTAGAAGAGAACACTTGCGATCTTGAGAAAGAACACCGCCCAAATAATTCAGCAGTGTCAGAACTAAATTCTTTCTATTTTGACTGCCACTTGCAGTGGTGTGATGCTATAGTATACCCAATATGTGGAGTGCTGTGAAAAAACGTTTGCGTCAGCCGGGATTCGAACCCAGATCTTACTCTTTCCGGGAGCGTATGCTAAAACGCTGGCGTCGGTAATGCAACGGTTAGCATACGCTCCCGGAAAGAGTAAGATCTGGGTTCGAAACCCGACTGACGCAAACGTTTTTGCACAGCACCCCACATATTGAATATCACAACTTTTAGAAGCGATTGGAAAGTTGATTACGCTTGATAGATCACTTGGAATTTCGTGCGAAGATTATCATGTGCTTCCGAATGAAGAGAAAAATTCATTTCTACTGCGCGCTGTGATATGCTGCTGAAGATTGAGTCTGCCCACCAACCTGCCCAGAAATTGTGCTCCTCCAACGCAAAGAAGCAGAATTCTCACGGAGTCATTTCGCTTATGATGATTTTCCAGTTCTCGGTCTTGCAACTATTCACGATGATCTCCTCAATACTAGTATCAATGAGGCAGCTATTTGGTGCCTAAACCACACAAGGAAGAGCGCATCTGCCGTTACAGATTGCAAATCCTTGTAACTCACAAATTGTGGTTCAAAAGCAGAATTTTAGCACGAACATCTGGTTTATCTACTCGGCACATGATTTATCTAGCAATGAAGTAAAGTCCGTTCAAAGAAATAGGCAAGCTCAGCAAGAGAACGCTTGCCAAAAGGTTTCAGATTTTCAGCATTTTCAAGCATTGATGCTTTCGTTAGGAAATAATAGAGTATCAAATGTGTATATCTCAGAGGTCTTGATTGGAGTGCTCTCAGGCTAACAAGAAGTAATGATCAGAACATCAAATATTCCAAGTGTTTCATTCAAAAGTGGAAATTCTAATTTAAACGTATTAGATCATTGGGTGCTCCCTGTGACCTTGGTGGATGAGATAGAAGTTTACCTACTACGCAACTATTGTTTCTGTAAACCCTGTACTCTTTCTGGTTTTTGGGAATTCTACAGAAATATAGTTTTCTCTGAAATAGTTTTTTTTTCTCGAAAGGTCGAAGGCGAACAGCTCAGTCTGTTCTGACGGATTATCTAATTATCAAGAACACTATTTTGATAAACTCACTTTACATATGTTACATCCCACTGCACTGTCAATATCAACCCCTCACCAGTACTTACATACTATGGTGGCTCTGTACTTTGTGCTGAAATAATGTCCATATTCAGATATTTGTTTTTTTTTCTTGCTATGCAATAAGACCAATCTTGGAAAAGATGGAATTCCCATGCAAGTTTGTCTGATTATAAAGATTTAGTCGCCGCTTTCCATTACCTTATTAAATACTGGTATTTCACTCTTGTATTCCGGGATATTTGCGCTTCCCACTCGCAACTTCTCATCGAATTAAACCCGTTTGAATAGAAATATTTATTGCCTTCTCACTACAATCTTTTCGAAGTACCGAAATTCATTTGATTGTTTGCCACGGAATTCGACAGCGGTGTTATATGCGGAATGCATTCGACTAGTATATCATGTCTTTCATTTTTATGAATCAACAAGTCAGTGCTCTATCAATCCAATAAATCAATATCGGCAATATATTTAGATTTGAACTAAAACTTTATCGATCGCGTACCACGAAACATATGCAGTATATAAATACAAGCCAAATTTCAAATACATCTAGGTTTCAAATAGATACGTTATGAAACAAATATACTTGTTTCAGGATCGTTATTATGGAAATTACGGAAGGGGTGGCGGGTGCCAACAATCAAAGGTCGTATGTCCGTGTTGGTGGTGCCGGCGGCGCTGGAGGAGCCGGTGGCGCTAGAGGTGCCGGTGGCGCTAGAGGTGCCGGTGGCGCTAGAGGTGCCGGTGGCGCTGGAGGTCCGGGTGGTGCTGGCGCTGCCGCTACTGGTAGTGCTGGTGGATCTGGTGTTAACGGTGCCGGTGGTGGTGGCGCTGCCGTTGGTGGTGGTGGTGGTACCAATGGTGTTGGTGGAACTGGTTCTGGCGGTGCCAGTGGAGGTGGCACTACCCAAAGCACTTGCGTTCTTAGTGGCGCTTGCGGAGGCGCAGGAGCTACCGGTGCAGCTTCAGCCGAATCGACTGGAGCACCTGTTGTCAAGGTTGGAAAATCTTGAAATCAAAAATATAGGCTGCTAATTTGTGGCGAATTTATGAATGATTTCTGAAGAGTGGTTTTTAGGCAAAAGCTCCTCCTGCAGCTCTCAGTAACACGTACAGCGTGTACTTGAATAGATATTATTGAGCCACCGCTCTGCTTTGAAATTACTAGGAAGTTCGTGAATAAATTTTCTCAATATCCCTATTGTTTAGTTAATATGCTCTTCTGAATCGATCAATTTTCAGGAACGTCTACCAGAATATGCCGCATTTGTGATCTGCTTGCAGTGAAAAATAAATCGCTTCGATTTGATGTGCGAAACTACAGCCAAACACAAAATAAATTCCTACAAAATGGTGACAATAAGATATATATTTCACATAATAGCTACTTTCTCAAACAGAAGAATAAAAGCAGAACATGAAATGTAATAGAAAGAAAAGGCAGGCTGAAATATTGGATGAGGCATGAGACGAGATCGGAGACACTGTCGAAAGTGGCGGTTCAGGTAGGCAACCCGAATTGCAAAAGGACGACGAGTTGCAAAGTTTGTAAGCGTAGCTGACCATGTTGATTTGCCTAAACCATATGAGTTTTTTTTTTTAAGCTCCCATTCATTGCTACTTTTCTTCGTCCAGACAGCAAGAAATACGAAGTTTTTTTCATGGTAGACAACAAAATTCAGCCCAAATTTAATTTCTCGGAACAACTTCTCAGGTCTAAGTGAACGTACTAGAATTAGGCTATAACTTTGAGCTACCAAGCTAGTAGTCATAAAACTACAGTTTTGACCATCAGTTCACTCATAAATTCTTATCGTGCACTTGCCTTTCGTTTTGGTGAAAGAAGAAACAAAAGTGTTTCCTGTACCAAGAAAAATTCGATTCTTGTCCATTATAAGGCGACAAAAGAAAAAGCGATCTTTTGCTGTACAGGAACTTCTCATAGGAGTGTTAATAATCATTCGAAAGCTTAACCTCTGGCTAGCGCGGTACGTGGCCGTTTTTTTCTTCAAAAGGCCCTTTTACAAAGATGCAAAGTTTGAAATAAAACCATAATTTACATCGGCTGCGCAATTCACCTACTACTTCGTTGAAAGCACAAAAAGCATATGGACTGTTAAAAAAATTTTGGTTCTTCTGATTCAAAGGGGCAAATGAAAACCGATCCCATTCGCTGGAGAGGAACTTTTCACAGGATTGTAAGTAATCATTCGAAAACTGGGACTTGTGGCTACAGCTCCACCGCTGGTTTTCAAAAAAGACTTTTTCGACATTTCTACAGGAGAATCAAAAATGAATTTGATTCCAACGTTGTGCTTATATCCTCTTTTGAACCGTTTCTTTGAAACGAAGCAGGTAAAATAAGCTGCAACTCAACTGATAATAAGTCGAATTCCCATGCGGGAGAAACGGCTTCCCGCACCACATGGGCGTCGGCTGCAGCGGCCAGTTAACAAACCTATAAACGCGTAGAGAAGTATTGTACCAGCAATCACGTGACCGCCACACCCATCATGGTGTGAACTGGCTTTAGATTGTCCGTTCTCACACATTGAGCTCAACTTATTTTACCTGCTGCGTTGCAGAGAAACGGTCTTTTCAGGAGATAAGCACAGCATTGATACCAGAAAGCCTAAGCTGCCTTACGATTATTTGTAGTTCAACGAAAGAGCTCTGTCCATCGATAAATATGGATTTGAAAAACAGACGATGTGATGCTGTAGCCTCAAGTCTCAGCTTTCGAGTGGTTACTAACACTCCTATGAAGAGTTCCTCTCCAGGGAATGAGGTCGGTTTTTCATTTGTCCCCTCCTAATCAAAAAGACCCAAAGTGTTTTAGTATCAGAGTTATATGTTTGATCTGGAGTTCCTCTTTAAAAAGAGAAAAAGTTCCCAATCAGATGACAAAGGTCGCTCTTCTCCGAAACTCCAATCGATCGGTCGTAGACGGCAGCCGCTCCGAATTTGCGAGCAGCAGACCCCGACCGTAAATTAGCCTGTAAAAAAGCAAGCCGAATGTGTGAAACTCTATCTTACTTCCACCGCTACACTGTAGAGAGATGCTCATTCCAGAAAATAAGCACAGCGTTGGGCTCCTTGAAATCGTACCCTATCGGATGATTACTAATAGTCTGAAGAAAGAACTCTGTCTTGCAAGACAAATGTGTGTGTCTGTGTGAAGCACAGAGGTTTTCCTTCCGTAACAACGTCAAAAAAATGCTCTTTCGAAAAATGATTAAGTGGAGTTGTAGCCAGAGATCTAAGCTTTCGAATGATCAATAACACTCCTTTGAAAATTCCCTGTCCAACGGATGAGATAGGCTTTTCATTTGCCGCCTTCAAATGGACAAGTGCCAGAGTTTTATTATTGAGTTTTTGATACCGGCTTTTTTTCATGAATTGAACTTATGATGAGTTTTCATGAGCTAGCACATACCGCCCCATTTGAAGGAGCATGTTATTAAAGTACGATATCTATGTGCACCTGTCCAATGCATGTGTGACCCGAAGAAGACAGGGCTCACAGGCCTCTTTGATACTACCTGTTCAGTGTCAGTTTCGCGGGAAAGATAGACGGGAAGATGAATTCAGGCCAGAAAGCTGGCCAGTGAATGCGCACATGGATCTATGTTGCCCGTGCAGCTCTGACGATCTTAGATAATATTTGCTCCGACAAAAAAAAATACTTGGTTGAACATTATGGAGGTAACTGATGTAAACGTTCATCACCTGTATTCGCAAAGTCCAAACGAAGAATATCGGATCCCGTCCACATAGAGCAATTCATTTGTATTCGTACATGATTTTTTCACATGAGTCTCACTTGAGGATCGACTCCTCGCTGAAAACAGTCAAGGATCAACTTCTTGTTGAAGACCGAATCAAAAACACGTATGCATTTTCCAATCGAAAGTCATGAAAGCAATGAATTTCAGCAAGTCACCGCTCTGCTATGAACTCCCAAAGCTGCTCCAACTATACTTGGGTGTATAGTATCAACTTTGCGACCGTGATGGATTTGTTTTATCCCAAAAATGAAGCAAGAACTATATGCATATTTCA